CCTTCTCCTGAGCAAGGAAGGCTTTGTATCTCCCCTAGAGTCCAGTGTTAAAGAAATCTATGCTGCTTGGTTGATTTTAAAACTTCCTTCATCAACACCACCCTTCTCCCCACAACCATGTTATATGGAAAGTATTTTATAGGCACTTAATTCATTTTTTTCATTCAACACACATTTATTACTTAAGTGTTTCTATGTGCTTGGTGCATGGTAATTCAAAGATATGAGATTAAAATCTATCAGGAAGTGACAGACAACTAAGATGCAGGTGCAATAATAGAACCATGTTCAGAAAAAAATGAGAAAGGAGTATCAGTCACTTGTACAGGAAAGATAAGAGAGGGCCAGGAAACAGAAACATTGAGGCAACAAATACATACAGAAACAAGTACACATATAGACTTCTCTTTGGGGGCATCAACAGCACAGTCTCCCAGGAGGCACATGAGGGGGCGGGCTGCAGTGTTCTTCAGAGCACCCACACCTTGCAGCAAAAGGGCTCCTGTAGTGATGCTATTTTATAAGCATTCCTATTGACTGAGACCCTATTAAATGCCAGGAGCTGCTCCACTGTTCTAGCCGGGGATGTAACAGTCAACAAATATGTAAATAAATAAATAAACATGAGAATTTTGTTGAGTGATAAGGGTTGGGAAGAAAATAAAACAGGATCATGGGATAGAGCATGGTGGGGAAAAGTCTGACCCGTATCCATTATTCTGCCAGTGACAGGCAAGATGTCCTACACTCAATGTGGGATATCAATCCAATGGCCTCAGATGGCTTTTAGTTAATAAAGACCACAAAACAGCACCCAAGAGTCTAGTAATAGACCAAATCACTATCTCACAAGGTAGTCTCCCAGTTCCGAGCCATAAAAATGCTGTTCAGAGTGGAGCTGTAGAACAGCACCGCTATTCCTTGTCATTCATTTGCAATACATCTTACACTGCCAGTTGGTTTTGTAATTACTTTATTTCACTCTTGTATGAAGTTCTCATTTCCCATATTAGAAAACAACTGTATTTGGGAAGGGCGAGCATCTTTCTGAGATACCTTAAAATAAAGATTAGAATCAAGGGTGAAATTTCCAGTCTCTGAGGTTTCACTTAGTGGTTGGACCAGAAAAGGAATCAGGTTTCTCCTCTACTTTCCAAAATGTTTGTACAATCATGCATTGCTTAACAACTGGGATAAGTTCTGGGAAATGTGTCCTTAGGCAATTCTGTCATTGTGGAACATCACAGAGTATACTTACACAAACCTACATGGTACAGCCTACTACACATCTAGGCTATATGGTATACCCTTTTGCCCTTAGGCTACAATCCTGCACAGTATGTTACTGTACTGAAAACTGTAGGCAACTGTAACACCTGGTACGTATTTGCGTATCTAAACATAGAAAAGGTACAGTAAAAATACGGTAGAAAAGACAAAAAAAAAAAAGGGTACATCTGTATTGGGCACTTACCATGAATGGAGCTTGCAGAACTGGAAGTTGCTCTG